AAAGTATATAAAGAACTCTTATAAGTGAACAAAAATGCCTCTGACAACACTCAATAAACAGCACTGACAAAGCAAAAAAAAACTGAACAAAAAGGCAACTAACCCAATTTAAGAAACAGGCAAAGGAAAAAAAATGGACAAAGGATTTGAATACACATTTATTTCTCCAAAGAAAATATGCAAATGGCCAATAAGCACATGAAAAGACGCTCGATATCACCGGTCATTAGAGAAATTCAAATCAAAACCATAATGATATACCCCTTCACACCCACTAAGATGACTATAATAATAAAAAAAAAACCCCGACTAACATGTGTTAGTGACGATAAGAAAAACTGGAACCCTCATACACTGCCGGTGGGAATGTTAAATGGTGCAGCCCCTTTGGAATATAGTTTGGCAATTCTTCATAAAGGTAAACATAGAGTTAACAATTCTGCTGCTAGATATATACTTGAGAAAACTAAAAACCTACGACCAAAAACTGGCACATTTTTCTTGTGTTTTTCACAGTAGCAGCATTACTCATTAACAGCCCAAAATGTGGAAATGATCCAAATGTCTACCCACTGACAAATGCATAAATAAAATGTGGTATACAATGGAATACTATTTAGCAATAAAAAGGGATGAAGGACTGATACAACCTGTAACATGAAGGAACCCTGAAAATATGCTAAATCAAAGAAGTCAGACACAAAAGGCCATATAGTATATATCAGGTTATTAAGAACGAAATGTCCCATTTCCTTAAGTACTAAGTTTGGTTTGACAGTAGATATCTCTGACACTTCACTTTGACACCTCTTGTTTTATCTTAATATGAAGGTACATCCTTAGCCTTTTAAATGCATGTTTTGGCTTATGATTTATCTTTCAAATTTTTTTTAGAGCAATTTTTGTGAAACCATGGATGAGTCAAAAATTCATGTTATTTTTGAATATGAGTTCTGTCGTGGAACCAACACAGCACAGACAGCTCAAGTATCAACAAAGTGTTTGGGAAGGATGTGGTTAACAAATGCACACTATGTGGACGGTTTGAGAAGTTCTGTTCTGCTGATTTTAATCTTGAAAATGAGACATGTGGATGACCTGAGACCAAGGCGGATAATGATGAGCTGTAGTGGAAGCGAATCCATCTCAACATGCATGTTAATTAGCAGCAAGGTTTGGTGTTACTATTCCAACAATAATGGATCATTGGAAACAAATCAACAAGGTAAAGAAGCTGGATAGATGGGTTGTGTATGAATTAAACGAACATCAGAAGAGAAAAAATCTTGAAGCTTGACTTTCTTTGCTTTCACGACATAAAGGTGAACTATTTCTACACCATATTGTTACATGTGATGAAAAATGGATTTTTTTTGACAATCTCAAGTGTTCGGCGCAATGACTGCATAAAGACAAAGTGCCGAAACACAGTCCAAAACCAAATATTCATCAAAAAAAGTTAATGGTGTCTGTTTGGTGGTCCAGGACTGGTATTATCCACTATAGTTTCATGAAACCTGGTCATTCGATTACAGCGGATGTCTGCTGTAACCAACCTGGACGGAATGAGGATGCTTGCCATTAAGCAGCCGAGACTGGTCAACAGAGACAGGCCAATCCTCTTGCAAGACAACGTTCGACCATGTGTTGCACAAACAATGCTTCTCAAACTACAGCAGTTGGACTTGGAAACTATCAGCCCATTGTATTCACCAGAACTTGCAACAACTGACTACCACTTTTTCTAGGCTTTGGACAACTTCTTTTTTTGAGACACAGTCTCACTCTGCTGCCCGGGCTAGAGTGCCATGGTGTCAGCCTAGCTCACAGCAACCTCAAACTCCTGGGCTCAAGCAATCCTTCTTCCTCAGCCTCCTGAGGAGCTGGGACTACAGGCATGCGCCACCATGCTCAGCTAATTTTTTCTATATGTTTTTAGTTGTCCAGCTAATATCTTTCTATTTTTAGTAGAGACAGGGTCTCGCTCTTGCTCAGGCTGGTCTTGAACTCCTGACCTTGAGCGATCCTCCTGCCTCGGCCTCCCAGAGT